GCACTGAATTAGATCGAGATATGTTCAGGGATGGGCAGATAACTATGTCCTCTGTAGAGTTATGTTATAAATTTACAAAAAATTAGTTTCCATTTCTCAAACTTCATGACTTACATCAGAATCCTGAAGTTGGAAACAAGGAATAATCTTATAGTAATGTATTCAGGAATGTACATACACATATCCATATATATGCATATTTTATTACACAAGCATTATATATAAGAGCATAATTGTGTATGTATTCTTGAATCATATCTAATGGAAACTAACGATTTTTCTGAGGTTTACTTCTAGTGTAGGTTTCCTGAACAGACTAGATGGACAAACACAACCCAACAACCCTGGCTGAATTCATTCTCATGGGAATCACAGACCTCCCTGAGCTGCAGGTTCCATTATTTGCTATTTTCCTTATTGTGTACATGATCTCAGTGGTGGGAAACATGAGCTCAACCATCCTCACCCACACAGACTGGAGGTTGCAGACACTTATGTACTTTTTCCTTAACAATTTGCATGCACTGATCACGGCTATGCAATAGCTGTGGGTCCAAAAATGTTGGTAGATTTTGTTGTTGATGAGCCTGTCACCTCCTACAATTGGTGTGCTGCACAATTCACCCTCTTTAGCGTGTTTATAATATTTATATGTCATATGGAAGTTACACCAACATATATACATAAATAAAAATAATTCTTTTAAAAATCAGAGCTTTACTTACCTTGGACATATTGTTACATGAAGTGTTACCATTGCTGTGGGTGAAGATGGCTGCTATATTTGGAGATACAATGTGTAGAATTTGAATGAACTTCATGTTTACTCTGAAACAACTTTCCTGGATGTTCTATATACTTCAAAATGTATATGCAATGCAATTTCTTTTGCAAAAGCTTATTGTTGTTGTTCTTTATAAGAAAGAAATACACTAGGTTTTCCTCTTTAAAATGTTGAAATTCTCTCTTGCACATCAACTATGTCTACATAGCCAAGTATAGTCTAGTAAACGTAATATTGTTTAAATATTTAAATATTTTTACATTAGTTTTAAACACCTGAGTTTATCAACTATGATATTTTCTTTTTCCTTATTCTGCATCTTACTATGCAGTTCAGGCCTTGAACTCACTATGTAGCCCAGGCTACTCTCTAACCGGCTGCCATCCTTCCTGCCTCCCAAGTTCCAAAATGCTGGGATCACAGGTGTGAATCACTACACCCAACTAATCTGTTAATAGAGGATCCAAAATACAGAACCCAGTAGATCATGTAATTTAACTTATAAAATTTATTGCACCATTACTCACAGTACATAAACATTTCCAAAATAATAGGGCTTTATGAAATTATTCCATCAGGTAATCCATGATTGCATAACGAACCTGTAGGAAAACATCAAATCTATCAAGTTATCTGAAGGTTGCTGATTGTTTTTATTTCAGAAAGAATGTGAAGGAGTTTCTTGAAGACAGAAGTGGAAAAGAGGGAAGCTAGATTTTGCCTGCTCCAAAATGGTGTTAGGTACTTCATAAACCTACCTTTGTAAGTGGATCTTTTAGAAAGAGTACATCATTGCAAGTAATAGGCCTGGAAATTACAGGCGTATTACACACAAATCAGCTTTTGTTTAAACACAAAATTATTTTAAAAAGGTAGACTCTCTCAGAATATCTCAGTTGGAATCATACCCTTTTGTTTATGTAACATGAAGATATACTGATACTTAAAATTTAATTTTAAGTTTCAAATATTAAAGCTTGTATCAGTTCTGCACTTAGCTTAATCTTCTGAAAAATAAAACAAATTTTATTTAATTCAGAGTTCCAATAAATAAATAAATAAATAAACCATATTTTAAAATTTCATAGAACTGGCTCTAGCTTGTTGCATCTCCAAAAACGTGCATACACTAGGATATGTATTCAGATCTCCAGACAGTGAAAGATTCATGCAGTTCTTAGATTGATGCATTGATTTGAATATTAATGACAACATCCTAGGAGAGTTGAGTTTTCAGTTAATTTTGCTAACATGAGATTATGCTCCAGATCACATCAACTTTCTAGATTCTTCTGCTCCCTTGCGAACAATGAATATTTAGAACACAAGGATGCACGAAAACACAAAAAATTGACATCACCTAATTCTTGTAAATGTTAACTTCTGCTGAAGACTGCGTGGCAGAATGCTACAGAATTAATACTGACTTGCAATTAACATGAGGAGTGTCTCATTTCTACGGCCCATTTCACAGCATCTTTTACCTCTCTATTCCTGAGGCTGTAGATGAGCGGATTTAACATGGGAATCACTAATGTATAGAACACGGAAACCACCTTCTCCTGTTCCACAGAATACTGGGAGCTGGGCTGAATGTAATTAACACTTAAGGTGCCATAGAACACGGTGACGGCAGTCAGGTGAGAGGCACAGGTGGAGAAGGCTTTCCGTCTGCCGGAACCTGAGCAGATTCGCAGGATAGCCAAGGCAATGAATGCATAGGAAATGATCACCACCAAGAAAATGGCCATTGCAATGACCCCAGAAAACAATACAAGCAAAAACTCATTCATGGAGGTGTCGGAACACGACAGTTTTAGCAGTGGAGGAATATCACAGAAGTGACCCACTACGTTGGGTCCACAAAAGGACAGTCTCCCCAAGCTTACTGTGTGTGTCAGCGAGTTAATCAGCCCACCGGCAAAGGACCCAGCCACGAGCGCTACACACCTCCTCTTAGACATGGCCACATTGTACAGGAGCGGGTTGGAGATGGCCACATAATGGTCATAAGCCATCACCGAAAGCAGGAAGCCTTCTGTGGTAATGAACACCCCAAAAAACAAATGCTGTACGATGCAACCAGAGAATGAGATGATTTCCCTCACCACCAAGAAGCTGGCCAGCAATTTGGGGGCAATGACGGATGAATAGCAGGTGTCTACGAACGAGAGGCAACTGAGGAAAAAGTACATGGGCGTGTCGAGTTTCGGGGTGATTTGGATTAAGAGGATCATGCCCACGTTTCCCACCAAGGTAACGACGTACATCACCAGGAACAGCACAAAAAGCACAACTTTCAGTTCTGCATGATCTGTCAGTCCCAAAAGAATGAACTGGGTAACAATAGTAAAATTGCCTTTGGCCATTCCTTTCTGTGCAATCTGAGGTGAACAGAACAAAGGATTAGAGTGGACACAAAATAACATGGTATTTAATAAAATCACTTGGAAACACTGATAGAGGCATTCTTAGATCAGAAAGATTAGTTTGGTTAACACAAGTCTCCTTGTTTAAAATTTTAGGTGTTTGATGTTATTGCTTCTTTTTCTCTTCTTTTTATAGCTTTGATGCAATTTCATAAAGTTATATATAGAAAACATTTTGGCTCTAAAATCTCCACTGTGTTTCTAAAGTGTGTGCAGTATAGGAAGTTAATATCCATACAAGGAACACCTGTGGTGACGGAAGGGAAGTTGCAAAATTAACTTCAAGATGTATTTTATCTTCATTTTGAATATGGAAGGAATTAATGACAAAATGATCCAAAATCAATTGTGCTACTTTCTAAGTAGTCAATCTAAAATGTATTATGATAAAACCCAAGAATTAGTGAAGATTATGAAATCATGGTACTGATCTCTAAGATGATGTCAGTTTATGCATGGAAAGCACGTTAAAACCCAGGTGTTTCCATGGGCCTCCTGGGAGAACTACAGAGAAACACTCCTTGGAATCACTGATCTCTGAGACCCAGAGCACAAACATCGTTGACTTGTTTAAGTGAAGCTATTTTAGAAGATAAAATAGTTAATATGATGTTTGGAAAAACTGAGTAAAATATTTATTAAAGTGTGTTTACTTTCATTAAAGTGCTCATTTATGCATAATGTATGAAATATTGCATCATTTTTATAAATATGTATATTATATAATATGGACACATATGTGCAAAAATAAAATTTAAAATCTGGCTTGTTGCAGTTACCTATTGGTCTAGAATACTTTTTCATGTTGTTTGTATAATGTAAAAGTTTATCATTATAGTTTTCTAAAGTTTTCATTACAGACCAGTTATTTACACTTCTAATTTAAATGTATTGTACATTCAGGATATATTTTATACATCTTATAATCAATATATCACATTGATTATAGGGCTGGTTCTCTTTCCCACTTTTTTCTTCCTCTCGACCTCTATCTTTCAGTTTACTATACTCTGTGTTTTGTTGATAGTATACATTTTCAGAAATGAAGAAATAAATTGAGATTATCCAGGTCATTTACTGTCATTTTAGTTAATCCATGTCAATTGGTACTAAGAGTTATTATTGGCATTAACACAAGCTGGGATTAAAAAAATATGGTGATGCTTTTTATGAACTATGTCACCTTGAGAAATTTATTTATCTTTCCTTGATGTAATTACACTTGTACTTCATTATTTTTAAAAAAGAAAATAAGTAACACTGTATACAAATGCTAAGTGTTGCTTTAGGAGAATAAGTATTAAAATTATGGATAGATGATAAGGTACAAAACTAAGTATGTGAATAACATAGTGTTATGGTTGAAACATTGTGTCAACTTGGGGAGTCTAGAGGTTTGGCTAAGTAACTTAGCAAGAAGCCAGAGTGCTTACCTTGTATACATCCTGAGCCTGTGGAAGAGGAGGGCATGGAGATTATGTGAGAGCTACATGCCCCTTAGGTGGGGGTAGCCTGTTTACAAAGTAAGGCAGGGAAAAAAGCTGCTTGCCGCCATCCCCCCATTTTGCTCTGGCTGTTTGCTGTTCAGCTGCCATTCCCCCCTTTGCTCTTGTTGCTTTGCTGTCTTCTGCCTCGGAGCCAGCCAAGTATGGACTGAAACCTCCACAAACTGTAAGCTAAATAAACCTTTCCTTCCTTCATTTTGGACGTTGGGTATTTTGTCTCAGCAACGAGAGAAAAGTAACTAAGACACATAGTCATGGGTAAAAGCTGTCCAAATGTTTTGTTTGGGGGATGCTAATGTGAATATGCTTAAATCATGAAGCAATTGTCTTAGTAGTGTCAACTTCACATTCCCAATTTTAAATCTCTGCTTTATTCTATTACAAATGGTAATTAAGTGGATGTGAGAATTAGTGGCTCACAATTAAGTATAATAAAATACGTTCTATGATAACCTATGCACTGTTTAAGAACTATCAAAAATTTTTACTGTAGTACAGAATTTCATTTAATAAATTATGTTATAATTTGACAGTCAAGCTGAGAATATTAGTGTAACACATCTAAACATTTCATACAATAGCCGGTACTGACAGGGGTATATTGGAATAAACACTTAAGTAAAGTAATCAATAGGCATATGTGTCTGGTGAGCAATGTCTTGGATGGCATAAATTGATCACATAATGGGTTTCCTTCACAGTAAGAGACTGTGTTGTCTTCTAAATGACTGCCAATCTCTTTTGAGTCCTAACTAAATAACATGTTCTCAAAGAAAAGTAAAACAGAAAGATAGAATGTTCAATTTGATTAAATGGCTTCTAATATCCTTAATCACATGATTCTATACAAAGCCCATACCTAATAATTCAAATAAAGATAGAAAACGGTTTTTCAAAATAAATGTAACTCACCCAAAGTAAATATTTTAAAAGTTCAGCTTTGGAAATGTTATGGTCTTCTCTTATGTCTTTTGTCCTTCACTAAGAACCAGTTTCAATTAATGATGAAAGGAATGCAGAGCTATTAAATATTTTCAAAATATGTAGCCAAAGATAACAAAGTAATTAAAGGGAATGTTAAATGTTAACAACTGAGAAATAAGAATACCGTAGTCAAATAAATAAAACCCTAGCCCTGTTCTTCTATGAGGACAAATGCAACTTAAAACTCTGTAATATGTATGTTTTATCAATCTCTCATGAGTCCTGTCACAGCTTACATATCACGTGGAGTAAATGAAACCCTAGGAAGCATTCTATTTCTTACAGGACACTCGAATTTCCCACGACTCATGTATATCCCTACAGTGTGTAATTAACTGAAATACCGCATGTACTAGAAAATATAGCAAGCATCTATGGGGTACTCTTGAATTCAGTAAAATATTACAAGAATGATTAAACAGAACCACACATCACCTGTAGTAACTGGTTGGATGTAAATAATCTAAGGACAAGCTATGTTTTATGTAGATGTATGAGACAAATGCCACTACTAATAAAGGCAGTTTTAAGAGTAACACATACACAAACACGTGTGCTCACATACAAATGCACATGTGTGAAAGTATATAAGCTAATTTCTGACTTTTGGGTTACTTGTTTTCCAGGTGAATTGTCAGTGCCACTATTTTGAATTTAATATGAAGAATGCATTTGGAAGAATTATGTCCATCAACATAATTCTCCACTGCATAATGTACAGTAGGCATTATTTTCACTCTAGAAATAAGTGGGATGTCAAACATAATCAAATGTTCATTTTTTTAAACAATGAGACTTATACTCCCTCAAAATTCTTGCTTTATAATACTTAGAAAACATGACATAAAAGTACAAAATGTGCATTAAAATTGCTGATGTGAAATGCAGGAAAAAGAATTGAGGATGCTAAAACTATTCGATTGATGAGAGAAATCATGACACCTCTCTGAGGGCCATTGAAGAGCTCTATCACTTGAATTGGAATCATAGATGTTAGTAACTGTTGTTGAAGGTGACTGAAAAATTGGAATATATATCTATATATGGAGTAATCAGGTTAGCAAATATGATAGGGTTAAAAAAATTGAAAAATTAGGCAACTGAAATGCACTAAACACTAAGGGAATAGATAACTTTTAATTTTTGAGCAATTACTCAAAATTTATTTATTTATTTATTTATTTATTTTAGAAATAAAAGGAGGAAAATACTAACAGATCAACAACGTTTTACAAAATAGCAAAGGATCAGTACAGACATTACAGAGTTACAAACAGAGTGGTAGGGAATTAACAATGCTTACTGTATTACATATTGATATCTTCAATGTAGTTTCTCATGAAAACACATATAGACATACAAAGCTAATCAACCAATGCCTCACTGACAGTTTCTTTCAGCAAGGAAATACAGGACAGTAGAACACCCGTGTTAACTATCCTGCATATACATATATACAAACTTTCTCAAATTTAAACATGATGATAAAATATTCCTGGGTTCTAAAAATGTTTCTCCATCTTTTAAGCATTACTCAATGAACACAACAAAATATCTTTTGTATAAGATAAATGCCTGTGTAATTTACACCTATGTTTCATTGTACCTATTTTTTATTTCTAAGAAATGTTTCAGTCATAAAGGAGGCCTTTGATACAATGTTATCTAGTAGTAGATTTTACTTTTGATCAGGTTATATTGAATATTATCTAAGTGGTTACACCTAAAATATATCACATATATTTCTAATATAAATAATTGCATTAGAGCTGTTTTATTGGCATGTCTTAATAGAATGACTGTCTATGTATAGTATTTCTTGGGCTGGAGAGCTGTACCATTAAGTTTTGTCTCTTTGTAAATGAGAACCTTTAAGTCATGTAGGTCTCCATAGGACTATACAGATCATCTATGTTGCTTTGTTCCTCCCTTAGAGATGTCCCTTGTATTTTTCTCAGGAGGGAATAAGCTGAGTTCTTAAATAATTGCTAGGTATATTAAAGTGTCTTTGATTAAGTCAGAAGATTTGGCATAATGATCTGAATGAATTAAATGATAACTATTTAGGGAACATCATAAGAGGGAGAAATCCCATACATTCTTCCTATGCCAAACAAACATATAAGTAATATGAAAAACAAAATTTCGATCGTACATTAACGGTGAGTAAAAATCATCTTTCTTTTTGATTACCTCCCATTACTCTGGGCTGCTGAGCATAGCTTTTGTGGGAACTGTCAGAAGATTCCTTCAAATACAGGACAAAAAAATTACCTCTTTATTTAACTATCTCTGCAGCATGATGTTTTTAGACCTTTAAGTGCTATTAATTGAATGCAAATCCTAAACCAGTGAGCTGTGAAGGTTGATACGGATATCTGGAAATTCCAAATGAGAAAAAAAAAACATTAGAAATACCTGAAACATTGTCACAAATCTTACTTATTAGGAGCTATTAAGATTAGGATTTTCACGTGAATTGTAGGATGTCCAGTTATATTTGATTTTCACATAAACAACCTATTGTAGGATATATCATATGTATCTCTAATAAATAACAAGTATAGTAATGTGCATATATGATGCAATATTTTAAAAAGAAGTATTTACCATGTAATATTTTATAAATTCAATTTTTTTTTCATAATGACATTGCTTACATAAGTTTGCAAATATTTTTCTTGGTTTTTTTTGCTAATGGGATGCTTACTGTGAGGTTACTTCTTGATAAATAGTTACTACAAACTGATAAATCCAAAAAAAGAAAAAAGTAAGACTTGTAGAATTTTGGAGAAATTGTTGAACTTGAAATTACTCCTAACAAACTTGCTAGATCACAAAACTGAAATATTAACTTTTTCCACACAATAATATTCAGAGTAAAAGCATTCTGATTTACTTATGGCTAGGTAAGGGCCAACAGTGCAAGTGGAGATATAATCAGTAAACAAGAGAGTCATTCTGAGGAACATATAGAAAAGTTTAAAGTGGTAGGATGTGCACTGGAATTCTGAATTTTTTTCTTAATCCTGTACATCTCACTTTCTAGCATTGAACCCTAGGGCAGCAGCCCCTGTAACACTCCAAACTCAAAGTAACTGTTCAAAAAGAAAGAGCCAGTGATATAGGTCAGTGGCACAGTGCCTGCCTGGCAAGTGCAATGTCTTGAGTTCAATTCTTGGCACCCAAAGAGACAGACTGTGGTTGCTATTTGACTGGAAAGAAGGGATCTGAAACAAGAACAGGGATCAATAGAGAAAGAGCAGACAGCTCCATCCTGGAGGAGGACGTGGCAGTAGCTGATCCATCTCCAGGGCGCCCTCCTCCCAGGTCCCATACCCCTGATCAGAAAGGCAAAGTGGACCCTGAACCCAGCTCCCTGACATTGCTGCCCTTGGCCACAAGGTTCTCCACACTGCAGTGGCACTGAATCAGTTTTGGATGTGTGGTGCTGCCTCAGGAGACTTTGGACCTGAAAGTGCGCAGGCTCGCGTTGGCTTTGCCTTCCCTTGTAATAATTTCATCCTGCTTTTTGCTACACTGAATATTGTGATATTTAGTTGCTGTAGTTAAAAATCATACTCATAGAGCTTCAGGTTTTCACTGAAGATAAACCATGTGTCATAGGTAGAATGTCCACTTGGATTAAGATAAATAAAAGAAAAAGCTTTAGAAAAAGCTTTAGTAGCTTTAGAAAAAACAGTTCTGTTTCACTTGCTGATTCACTTAAATTCATAAAAATTAAAGTTTATGAAGAGAAAACTGTGTAGCCATTATACAAGTGAAATCAAGTCAACTTTTATTACTTCCTATATGGCTTTGCCTTTAATGGATATGTTCTAAACTTCACTCATTCTATTTTGAATTGAATTTAGAACCTATAAACTTAGGTGCTACGCATGAATCCTTAACTTTAGGCAGTAGGGATATGCTATCATTTACCCTTATCTCAAAATTGGATGCAGAATTTCTTTGGCTCTACCCTACACTGAATTCAAATTTTAATTTTCTCTATAAACACTGCTTTTCTTTTAGATGGTGCAATGTGAAAGTTAACGAGCTCTCCTGTCACCAAAATGGACACTTCAAACCTAACAGCGCCGCCCAACTTCATTCTGCTGGGAGTCACAAGGCTGCCCGAACTTCAGCTACCCCTTTTTGTGGTCTTCCTCTCCATCTACACAGTCACAGTGGTGGGCAACCTGGGCATGATCGTCCTGACCCAGCTGGACTCCCATCTGCACACACCGATGTATTTTTTTATCAGACACCTGGCGATCATTGATCTTGGGAATGCCACCACCATCTGTCCCAAGATGCTGGTTAATTTTGTTGTAGCTCAGAACACCATTTCCTATTATGCTTGTGCCACCCAGATGGCCTTCTTCATCCTGTTCATCGTCAGTGAACTTTCAATCTTGTCAGCCATGGCCTATGACCGCTACGTGGCCATCTGCGACCCTCTGCTCTACAACGTCATCATGTCCCAGAGGCGCTGCCATGCTCTGGTGGGCGTTCCGTACCTCTACAGCACCTTCCAGGCTCTATTGTTCCCTATTAAGTATTTTACATCGACCTTCTGTGGCTCTAACATCATCAGTCACTTCTACTGTGACGTTGTCCCCTTGTCACCTATGATCTGCTCACACGCACAAGAAACAGAATTGCTGACCATTCTGTTTTCAGCATTCAACTTGATCTCCTCCCTTGTGGTAGTTCTCTTGTCCTACATGCTGATTCTCCTAGCCATATGTCGGATGCGTTCTGCCGAGGGAAGGAAGAAAGCTTTCTCCACATGCGGCTCCCACCTGACGGTGGTGGTGGTCTTCTACGGGACCCTTCTCTTCATGTACGTGCAGCCCAAATCCACTCACTCCTTTGAGACTGATAAACTGACATCTGTCTTTTACACTTTAGTGATCCCCATGCTGAACCCCTTGATCTACAGCTTGAGGAACAAAGATGTACAAAATGCCTTCCACAGGGTTTTTAAGCACCGATGCAAGGTTTGTGCTTAATAAATCAGAATAAAAGCAAATGTCACCTGATAATAGTTCTCATAAAAATTATTGTGTACACTTTAGCTCCAGAGCAGATGGTAACAGACAGATGAGTCGATTGTTTCCCTCACACTTAGCTAAGCTAAACAGTATGCTTTAAATATCAATTAAATGTGACTTTTTTATGAACACTCCTTGGTTCTGAGTCAACGTATCCTTTACAGCTTCCTTACAAGCACATACTTTTGATGAACACTTTTAAAATTCTACATCAGTAAACTGCATATTTTTTTCTGTCAATTTTGGGAAGACAAGTATGTTCCTAATGTTTTAATTGTATTTTCTGAATCGAAAAGAAATGTAAAACCACACTAAGTTTCTAACAGATGGTATGGTTCTTATAAAGGGATGTTGATAATATCTTTAAAGTTATGAAATATACTGAAATTCTCTTTAATTGATATGATTAATTTAATTATATTTGGTTATACATAATGAGCATGTTCTTTTGCACATTTTCTTTCATTTTCTATGTAGGACATGATAATTCTTTGTTCATTTTTCTTTTAGCTACATGATCTCTTTGACATTTTGACCAAACATTGTATTTCTGAATTGCTATATGATGATCCACAAGGGTATTACAAAAGACAAAGTTAAAATAAAATGTCCTTGTGCACTTGCATGTTACATATTATAAATCTGAAAGTATTAAAGAATTATACTTTAGTTGTACATATTTAACTTGCAGAGTTTTATGATTATTGTGTTTTATATATATGTATATATTAAGAGCAAAGTAACATCTAAATATTAAATGTCAGCAGTGCTACACTTCCCTGTTACAACTGGGATTGAATTTCTGTAGGCATTCAAGAATAATATTTAATAGTAAAACCACCCTAGTTGAAAATCACTGTTATTCTTATGTTTCTACATTTGACTTTATTTATAAGCATTTGTGTTTGTGGGAGATGGGTTGACTTTCAAATATCATACATTAGAAACTTTAGCAGAATCTTTATATTATATTTGCATTTAAAAAAGTCTCCCAGAAGGCAGTAAATGAAATCTATCTCCATTAGAGAATCACAAGTAAAAGTCTAAATGAGAGATCACCTCACACGTGTTAGGGTAGCTGTTATTAAAAAAGGTAAAAGAGAGCAGTTGGCAAAGGTGTGAAGAACAGTAAGCCCTCGTATACTCCTGGACTGCGGGTGAAGATTATTGCAGTAATTGTGGGAAGCACTGTGGAGTTCCCCAAAGTTAGAAATGATGTAGAGAATGCACAGTCTTTCTGACCAAATGAAAAAAAAGATGCAGTTGTCACCAAAATAGCCATAGGCAAATGTGGATTCATTACAGAAAAGATAGTCAGAGAAAGGGAGATATATATTCCCTATACAATGTCTGCCCAGGTCAATCACCTTAAATAATCTCAGTGTGAGGTAAATTCTAGTAACCAAGAAATGTTAAAAATATGAAGTAACATTTGTATAACCACCCATAAGACACAATTTTCTCTGTGAGTAAAACCTTGTTTATTTTCTTGTTAAAAAGGAACAAAGTGGACCAGCACTCTTCTAGATATTTAGGAAACTCAGATATGTCCATTCCATGACTCACCATTCCCAAAATATATTTCAAAATTTCTTAACACTGAAATTTTCATTAAAACTGTAGCAAAATTTGACTTGGGAACAGGAGTTGATTCTTCATTCTGTTCCTTTACCAGCCTGGAGGGTGCTGGGTGCCTGACCTGAAACAGTGATTTCATTTACTTTCTGCCTGGTTTTCCCATTCCATCCTGCACATCCAAACCACACATCAGTAACTTGAAATTCAACTAGTTGGCAATAAGTTGAAAGTAATACTCATTTTAGCTAGAGATTTTGTCCATCCCCTTGTGGTTGTTTGGTATGTCTCGGGCCCCCAGCTAGAATTTGTAGGTTTGACACACTTGTGACACACCTGTGACACACCTTTGACACACCTGTGACACACTTCCCTTTCCAGGCAAAACAATTTGTTCAGTATTCATGGTCTGTGGTACTCACTGATTCTCCAGCAGACAAGTAAAATAAAACTATTCACAAAATACCTATTGTGTATGTGTTGGTCTGAGGCATGGGATAGTTTATGCTCACCTGTAGCATCACTGCAGGACCTTGTGCCAAAGACTTAAGAATAAAAATTAATAAGGTACAATTATTAGAAAAAATGCCTGAAAAGTAGTACTATTAATTTATATTGAGCTAAATTACATGTAAAAATTCCAAAAATTAATCGAATGAAACAAAAGTGGTCATAAATAGAGACATTTTGCAAAGCAAGATATATGTTCATGAATGATCAACAGGGTTATGCAAATGTGCCCCTTGCCCTGGCCATGAGGTAAATGAAAGCTAAAACAACAATGAGATAATATTCCCTGCCAATTCTCACTTGTAAATTTCATACTAAATATTCCTTTCTCTCTAAAATATTGATGATGATGTGAAATATAAGACGTCCAAATAGCTGGTATTAATATAAAATATCACAATAAGTTTGGAGATGTCACCTTTTTTTCTAAATTTAAACATGCATTTACTTTAGCATCCAGAAATTCCAAAACATCCTCTGGAAAAAAATAGTAATTAATGAGTTTGTTAATAAAAATGAAGAGAAGAAATAAAAGAAATAGGAGAGGAGAGAAAAATAGAAAAAAAATAAGAATGCCAAATACAAAATTAACTAAGAAAAACAGAAGAAAACAACATGACATCCAATGTCATGACAGGAGAGGGATATCCAATCAGACAAACAAGGAAGAATGAAAGTAGTAAAATGCCTTACAGTTCTGTGATAGTGTCCATACTGAACAAAGATATTTATATAAAGTGATTATACTAGATGTATCACAATAGCACTAAACTCAAATATATAGCATAAGGAGAAAATTCTAAGAATTTTGAAATATTTATTTAATGGACTAACCCACAAAATTACAGACACACCAAGGATAAAGAAATAAGCCAAGTGGATGTAACAGAATTAAGGGTTTACACTATGTGATTACGCAGACACAAAATTCAAATCACAGAAAATAATGTAGGAATTGATTTCAGACCAATGATGATGTGATGATGGGGGATATTGTTTGAGCTAAGATGTGCAGAAAACTTCATTAAGATGAAAGACCTTTAGTGTGTGAGGTAAAAACCATGACCTGGAACTGTTTTGTACTGAAAAAAAGTCAATATCATAATTTAGCTATTAGATAAACATGAAATTCAATTTCTTGTTCAAAACTGAATGTTTTCTCAGTAAAATTCTAAGTTTCCTTGTGTAAATGGCCCCCAGTTCCTCTGCATATGGAAATCAAAGAGAAAGAACGCATGCTTCAGATGTGCAGTATGAGTGATACCCTGTTTAGTAGACTGTACTCTCCGCGCTATTGAGGTAGTGAGTTCTCCTCTCCGAAGATGCAGTTGCTGGGCAGACATTGTCATAAATTTTTGCCCCATCGTAGTTGTCAAGCTTTTGTGGATAAAGAGCACATGTCTCTCCCACATTTAGAGGTCAGTCTTTAATTTTATATCTTCCAGTTACCACTTATGTGGCTTCTTAAACTCTATCTCACATGTAAGAGCTAAATGACATATTTTTAACTTGGTGCTTACTTTGAGTTAAAGAGAGAGGAAAAATCCTAGCAGTTAATAATGATAGTGTCATTTAACATTTTATGGTGATGTTGGAAGTGTTCCAGGTCCCGGGGTGAGCAGTGTGAAAGTTTCTCCCATTGCTGCTCCGCTATTTCACTCCCTGTAAGTGGAGAGCAAGTTCCTTGAATTCTCTGAAGTCTCCACAGATCTGTTCTGATCGTTTATGTTGTTTGTTCCTTTCCTGGGGTCTCCCTGATACCTTCTCATGGGGGAATATATCCCCAAAGCACATTTTAAGTCTCTCAGGTGATTTCTATATAAGGAACTGAATGAATTACATGCTCTTTCCTCAGGGAAAATCATACATAGGGAGGGGAGCCTTAAATTCTTATTATCCAAGCATAAAGAGTGATTTCAGAGATGGAAATCTGATTCTTCTTTCAAGGTAAGGACTGCCATGACTCTTGGTGTTCACCTGGGGTTGGTAAGTCTCCGGCACCTTTGGATTTTGACTCCAGACACCCCCACAGTCAGTGACACCTGATTCCTTTAAATGCACCACAGAATTCAGTATCTCTGCCATAAACTACAGGACCTGAGATGAGCATTTTATTTCAGGCACAAAAATCGAGGAAATGAACATGTATCCTGTATCTATCTGATTTGTCAATGTTTAAAGGGGCATATAGATAATGAAAAAAAGGCAATAAAAATAATAATGTATAAAATCCAATCACTGATCTCATCAGGAAAAATCTGTTAAGATTAGGATTTCCAAATAAAATACAAGAAGGTTTAATTTGAATCTCAGATATGACACAAATTAAATTTTATGGAATATTTTATCAATGAAATAACATTTTAATAAAGATACATAGTAACCATATTTTTAAAATTAAGGTAATATTTTCATGATGAAATTTCAGAAAGCACAAGTAACATTTATTAAAGTATGTTACAGGTATAAATGTGCAGATAGTTTAATTTTGGATAGTTTTCCCTGCATTTTGTTTATTTCTGGATCTATTTTTAAATACTAACATTCAATGTACAAAGAAGTAGAGGGTTTTTAAGAGTTTTGAAGTTGTAAAGAAACCCACGAACCCCAAAAGCTAACTGAAATGAACTTGTGTAAAGGTTGAAAAATCAGTCCATCTGCATAATTGTTGTCCTTGCCTGCCCTAGGGGAGAACCCCAACTGGAAATATCTAAAATGTGTACAAGTAGATACTTCTGAAGAGTCCAGAGAGTCTTTTTACATACATAAACTCGACCAGGTAAAGGAATTTATATATCCCCAGAAACATTAACATTGCACACTAAAAAGAGATAGACTTAAAAAAATATCTCCAGAGTTCTTGGGAAAATTGAAATACTTTACAACCATAAGATGGGGTGTCCTGGACTTCTGGAGCCTTTTGCTCAATCTAAAGCAGCTTCTAGGGCCAGGGAGATAGCTCAGTGGCATAGTGCCTGCCTGGCAAGCTCAAGGTCCTGAGTTCGACTCCCAGTACCATAAATAAATAAATAAATAAATAAATAAATAAATAAATCAGCTTCTGTTCTACAGTAAAACCATAAGATGGCAGGCCTTACAAAGATGCAAATTCAAACTTAAGTTCTCAGAAGGAAAGAGACTATGGTTCATGGGTAAGAGCAAGGGATGTAACAGAAGAGTGGGTCTCAGATGAAGCACTCCGGGGGTAGAATAGAGGAAGGCTGCCCAGAGATCTCCAGGATCACCCTGTGCTCAGCTGCATTCCCTGACTCAGAATCGCAAGTGGGCACCCATGTGAGCAGATTCCTGGAATTCCTGCCACCTGACACTTCTCAGAGCTGCGCTTGCCAACTTTGTGCTGGGCACCAAGAAATGGATCCCTGGTATCTGGGCAAGTGGACACTAGTGTCCCAGTAAACAGTTTTCTCTTTTGTATTCAAGCAACAGAACAATTTGCTATCTCATTTCTCCTCGAAGTGAAGATCATATTGACACAGTTCCAGGAATTCATGAGCTGCTTCTGAATGTGACAAGGGGAGAATTCAAGAGATTAGGCTGAAGAGGGATCCCTACCTTTAATCAGTTCTATTGAGTTTATATCTTATATTAATTTTGCAAAATGAAGGGTAACACTTTTTACTGAAATACTTGAATATCACTGTCATTCTCCCTTCCCTGATAAAATTGCAGAAACCATTAAAAGTTATTAATATACATTATGAAAATGATCAGATAGATATTTCAATTGATTTAAAAATTGCCATCTTACTAGTGTTATTTAATGATATGAAGCATATAAAAATTACTTAAATCCATTTGTGTGACTGATCATGAGACTTGCTCACACTTCTATGAGCAAGAATAGATATACATCTCGTATGTCTTTTTTATTTTTATCTTTTTTGAGACAGGGTATCTTTATGCAGTTCAGGCTGGTCTTGAACTCACTTTGTAGCCCAGGCTGGCCTCAAACTCACAATGCTCCTCCTGCCTCATCCTCCCAAGTGCTGGGATTACAGGCGTGTGCCACTATGCCCAGCTCATCTCATGTGTCTCAATGTCTAATGTACTTGAAGATTCTCTTTCACTAAAACCAAGTAAAATTATCATTAGAAGCTGACCATGAATATAAATATTTACTGGGACAAAAAGAACTTAAGCACATTGAGTGCAAGATAATTATTAAAACATTATAATATCTATGAGTTAACTAATTTTGACAGTGAAATTGATATATCTACACATACTGGCAAAGAGCTTTTCATATATAAAAAGGCAGTAGTTATCAATGATAAGTGCTATTAGTTGTGAACATTACAAATATGAATAGTAATCACCAAATAAAATATCAATCCCTCAATTCTCTGTTACTTGCACTCTGACATGTATCTAGACATTAATCCACCATGACTTCAATTAAAGCATGAAGAGGTAGAATGCAGAATGCAAGGAAAAAGTGGGCAGAATAGATTAAACTGTATGTGTCTTATTTTGGAAAGTTTGACAAAGACGTCCTGCTTTGTGAATTTATTGATAAAGCTGCACATACCTTTTAAGAGTACTAATACTTCACTAGAATTATCAAAGTCCAACAGCAGAACAAGGTGTGATCAAGAAACACCGAACGTGTTTAAATCCGCACAAACGTTAACAAGTAAAAAACACACTGCAATTAATAATTTTCAAAACACCATCCTTCACAGGGAAAGTGTGTATGGCATTGTCATTGCCACTTTCTGAAGCAGCTCCACAGGTCTCATTTCCTGACTGTCTTTAGTTGTACGACTGTGATTTTCTTGATGCCATTTCAAGGTCTTTATGATCTTGGAGAAGAGACGGAAGTCCTGGGGTGACAGATCCAGTGAGAAAGGTGGGTATCAGCTGCCACACTGTTCTCATGAGACTGCCTTCCTATTGCACGGAATTGGAAGCAGCAGCCATCAGTTTGTGATCACATCTACTTAAGGCGCTAGTGAAGGGAGACTGTCTGAACTTCCTCTGAGAGTACGAGGACAATGACTTCCATGTGTGTGAACAAGAGGAAATGCTCTGAGACTGGTTAATGGCGATGTGTCTTACTGTAATAGATATATTTTAATTCAAATTTAACTCTATTTTTCTTTCATACCCTTGTATGTTCAGAGAAACTATTCCATTATCAGGAACAATAATACCTTATGACTCTAAATTTACACTGATGCAGATATGTGGATAACGGAGTGTTCCAGATATTACTGACTCTCAAAAAGAGAATCTCTTCAGCTATTTCACATGGATACTTTATCTAGAGAAAATTATATTCCTTTTATCGTCTATTAGAATCAGAAAATGATATTAGTATTCTATGACCAAGTAGAATATATATTTCCACTCTGTGTGTGATTATTAAGATGTGTTCACTGATCATGAATGAAAGACATAGCATCTCCCTTTGTCCTTCCCAGAAGAGATACCAGGACCTCATGGGCAGACAGAATCTGACGGTGCCAGCTGACCTCATTCTGAGTGCGGTCTCCAGCCTGCCTGAGCTGCAGGTCCCCCTGTTTTGGATCTTCCTCATCATCTACACTACCACAATGGTGGGCAACCTGGGCATGATCCTTTTGACCAAGCTCGATGCCCACTTGCACACCGCCATGTACTTCTTCATCAGACACCTGGCTTACATGGACCTGGGTGATGCCACTGTCATTTATCCTAAAATGCTGGTAAATTTTGTTATGGGTCAGAATACCATTTCTTTTTATTCATGCGCCACACAGATGACCTTCTTTGTTACATTCATCATCAGTGAACTTTTCATCTTGTCGGCCATGGCCTATGACCGCTACGTGGCCATCTGCAACCCTCTGCTCTACCACATCCTCGTGTCTCAGACACGTTGCCACGTGCTGGTGGGCATTCCGTACCTCTACAGCACCTTTGTTGCTCTCCTGATCACCATTAAGACTTTCATATCAACATTCTGTAGCTCTCAGATCAGTCATTTCTACTGTGATGATGTTCTTGTGTCACTTATGCTGTGTTCAAACGGACAAGATATAGCATTGATGATCAACCTATTTGCAGGTTTTAATGTGACCTCCTCCTTCCTGTGCATATTATTATCTTACTTTATGATTCTCCTAGCCGTATTTCGGATGCATTCTGCAGAAGGTAGAAAAAAAGCTTTCTCTACGTGTGCGTCTCACCTGACCGTGGTGGTGGTTTTCTACGGAACTATTTTCTTCATGTATGTGCAGCCCAAGTCTGCTCAGTCTTCTGATATTGATAAACTCTCCTCCGTGTTTTACACTTTAGTGATCCCCATGCTCAACCCACTGATCTACAGTGTCAGGAACAAAGAAGTCAAAAATGCCTTCCACAGGGTCTTCAGGAAGAAGTTTAAAGTTTGTACATAGTGTTTCATGTAGAATGCTAGCCTAATTAAACAGGAGTTACTGACAGACAATGTCATTTGACAGGATTCCTAACCCATAGGAAAGGAATATGTAGTTTGTGTCCACAGGCAATACTCACTATAATGTTGCTGTACTGAGAATTACATTATTTTTATATATTTATCCCAGTTAATCCTCAATTTTTAAGTATGAATGAAATATCACTTTTTCCCCAACATTCTCTGGCTTTTACTCAGTACTCCTTCTCATGGAAAAATTTATTCTGCAAATAAAAGTTCATATTGCAGTCTATATCAATAAGCTATATTTGTTTTAATTAACTGCTGTGCTTTGCTTTTTGCAACCTTTTCTCATAATTTTGTTTTTATTTGTGTGATTTGTGTGTAATGAATCTCAAACTACCATTCAAGAAATAGGTCTCTTGCAAGTTGACAATATATATGTTGATCATATGAGAATTTCTTCTAGGGCAAATATTTGATTTTCTAAAACCCTGCATGTGGAGCATTTTGGCTCCATATGCACGACATCTAGCAGTGATCTTTTATATTTAACATTTTTAAGGAGAATACATTAAAAATGCAAAGTATACATTAACATAAATGTATAATATTCCACATCTAATCACAAATAATAGGTCACTAAATATGTAGCAGTTTAAACTCTATCCAGGCGAACATTAAATCCTGAGACAAATGTGGGTCACAGAGTAAGCAGGTAGTGCTTTAAGACAGCTCTGTTAGATGTGTTTAGTATCTTGAATGATTTAACAGAAGCACGAGTGTTATGAGATACAAATTAGATGGAAAGAAACTGTCTGGGATTCCTGCAGATGACTGATTATATAACAGTAACAATACATATTTATTGAATGATTACAGCATTGGATTACTCATGGAAAAGCAAAGATGACATCTTCAACCAGCCACACTGGAGTCTTTCCTAAGTGGATCCAGTAGGGAAACAAGACCGTGCGCAAAAATTGTAAGTACAATCTCAGTACCTGGTAGAAAAAAACCAAGATGACCAATATACCTTCAATTGTAGGTCCAGTTGAGAGGAGACATGGTATAGCAACAAAAAAAGTTGTGAGGAGATGGCATGCTGTTCTTTGTTTTTGTTTGTTTGTTTGTTTGTTTGTTTTGTTTTTTTCTGGTACTGGGAATCAAACTCATGACCTCACACTTGCCAGGCAGGTGCTGTGCCGCTGAGTTAAATCCCCAGCCCCTTGTATTTTTTGTTTTTGTTTTTGTTTTTGTTTTTGTTTTTGTTTTGTTTTGTTTTGTTTTAGTTTTTGTTATGCTGTTCTTTCTGAAGTTGTTTTTTGCCAAAATGCATACCAGATATTCTGGGAGTGGTGGTGCATATCTGTAATCCCAATACTCAGGAGTCAGAGGCAGAAGGATTGCTGAGAGTTGAAAGCTAGATAGGGCTACTCACTGAGCTCAAAGTCAGTATGAAACTTATTGCAGATCTCTATCTCAAGAATAATAATACCATCAATATGGTCTAAATAACTCAATTTAAAGTTAAAGGAAAAAATGAGCTGTATCATATTTGAGGTATTATTTAAACATGAAATACTCTTTAATAAAATCTACTTACTTTGTTTACAAACATTCCAATTTTCACTGTGTAAATGGCTCCCAATTTTTCTACTTATGAAATGAAGACTTTGAAATATGGGATTAGTGATACTGTTTTTAGTAGATATTAGGCTCAATGTGATTACACTGAACATTATTCAATAGTAGCAGCATTTCAGTTTAAGAAATGAAATCCCCACATAGACTTTTCAGTACAACATCTCCTCATTAAAATTGTGGTCTTTTTGCTGAAGAAAAGACAAGATCTGTGTCTCCCTCACTTAGAGATGAAGCATTAATATCCTACCTTTCAGTTACCATTTAAAAGTGAAAAATATCCTAGTTTTCTGTTTTATTTTCAATTATCTTATTTCATAAAATAAATATACTATGTCTCTTTCCTTCAGGGTTTTTTGTGTTTTAATTAAGCTTATTGTTATATTTATGATGTACATAATGATCACATTCATCATAGGAAACTTGTGTCTGGACCTGATATATTTTACTTCCTTTTTATTTCTTATTTCCCTCATTTGCTTCAGTATCACTTCCTTTCATTTACAAAGGTGTTTTTTCTCCATTCTATATTTCTTTTCTCATTTTCTTCTTTTCCTTTCCTTCCTCCCCCACCCCATTCCCTTTTCTTTTTAAATAATTTCTTCCTACTTCACAATATCTATTGTACATTGTGGTCCTTATTTACACTTTCAATTTCTCACACCAGGGAGATAATGTCATATTTACACATGTGTGTCTGATTTATTTCACTTAAGAGTATGGTCTCAGGGTACATCCATTTACCTAGAAATATCTCAACTTTATCCTTTTTTATGACCGAGTAGTACTCCATTGTTTAAAAAAGTTTTTTTTAGCCATTTCTTGATTGATGGGCATTTAGAATGTTTCCAAGATTTATCTATTACAAGCTGTGCTGCTATAAACATGGGTGTGCATATATCCTTATATTACAATGCTTTTAATTCTTTTGGAATGATACCAAAAGGGGAATAGCTAGATCAAATAGAATCTCTAGGTTTAGATTTTTGAGGAATCTCCAAAGTGATTTGCGCAGTGGTTGCACCAGTCTACACTCCTACCAACAGTGGGGAAGGTTTCCTTTTCCCCACAGCCCTGCCAACATTTGTTTTAGTTTATTTCTTGATAATATCCATTCTTTCTAGAGTGAAATGGAATCTTAGCACTGTTTTACTTTGCATCTGCTGAATGACCAGTAATAGTGAACATTTTTTCATATGTTCATTTGCCTTTTGTACTTCTTTATCTGAGACATCTGTTCACTTCAGATGACCATTTTTTGGATTAGGTCTTTATTTGGGGAGGTCTGATTGTTTTCAATCCTTTTTTATGTTTTAGGTATTATTCCTTTGAGGAACAACTAGCTAAAAATTTTTCCCACAATGTGCATTACCTTTTCAGTTTGTTGGTGATTTCGTTTGCTGTGTAAAAGCTTTCTAGTAAGACAAGAACCCAGTTGTTGATTCCATGGCCATTTGCACTATGTTGTTTCTTCCTACCCAAGAACAGGAGATATATTTCAATTTTTGTCCATTTAGTATGATGTTGGCTATTGATTTTTTTATAGATGGCTTTTCTTATATTGGAATAAGACCATCTATTCCAGTTTTTGTAGGGTTTTTATCATAAATGATGTTGGATTACCTCAATTGTTTTATCCGCATCTATTGAGATGATCATGTGATTTTTCTCTATGACTCTTTTGATAAGCTGTTTTACACTTATGGATTTGGATATGTTGAAGCTCCCATGCATCTGAGGAATGGAATCTATTCAGTCATGCTGTACAGTCTTCTCAATGATTCACTGCATTCTTTTTGCCATTATCATGTTGAGGATTTTTGTGTTTATATTCATTAGGGAGATTGGCTATAAGTTCTCTTTTCTGGTTGGGTTCCTCTCTGGTTTTCTTATCAAGGTAACACTTGCTTCCAGGAATGACTTTGAAAGTGTTATTTCCCTTTCAATTTCTTTAAGAGTGTGAGGAAAAAAGGCTTTGGGCTGTCTGTAAATTTCTTGTGGAATTCAGCATTGAATTTATCAGAACTTGGCTTTTCTTTGTTGATAAGATTTTAATTATATTTTCAATTTTATTGACTGACATTGGGTTATTTAGAATTTGATATCTTTTGATTCAATTTTGGTAATTCATATGTGTCTAAGAATCTTTCCATTTATTCTGTTTTCCATCTTATAAAAGTAAAGTTTCTTAACTAGTTACTGATGACCTGGATTGCTGCAGGATCCATTGTGATATCCTCCTACCTCAGCCTCCTGAGTGCCGGGATTATAGGTGTGTGCCACCATCCTTGACCTGGATCTTGTTTCTTAATCCATTCTGCCAGTCTGTTTCATCTGATTGAGGAATGGAGACCATTTACGTTTATGGTTATGACTGATATGTATTGGCTTATCTTTGTCATATAATTTTCCTATTGTTGGTTCCCTGTCTTTCCCCTCTGTTTAATTGCTTGCCCTGTCTGCTGGGGTAGAGAAGGATATTCTTTAGTTACTCCTTTGTGTATTGCCCAGGCCTGACCAAGTCATGATTTTTCAGTTCTGGAGAAAGTCTAGCAAGAGTATTGAAAGCCCCACAGTCAATACTAAATGTTTTGCAGAGATATGCCCCAAAGAATGATAACATGATGGCTAATTAGCCAAATCTTATTTATTGTTCTTGCTAGATCGATTGAGATCCTCCCTTTTGCACTGCTGCTTCTTTTGTTCTTCCTAAATAAAGTTACTGAAATTGGTAATTGTGGCTGCAGTTCGAGAGGCTGTAAGCCCCCTGATCCCAGAATTTTGCCTCTCTTGGTTTTCTTTTTTTCTTACTTTTATATTCATCTGCAGGTACCTCATTCTTGGGACCTGACACCGTGGATAGAACGACATGCTGGCTTCTTTCTAAGATGTTATTGGAATTCTGGTCTTCTGTATCTCTTTCTAAAATATCCTTCAGAGGACATTTGAGCATTTCATATAGCTATTTTAGTGGTCATGGATTTCTTTAGTTGTTCTTTGTCATGGAAGTCTCTTATTTCTCCATTATTGTTTTGAAAGATAATTTTGTAGGGTACAATAATCTGGGTGGGAGGTTGTTTGTTTTCAGGACCAGAAATATTTCCCTTCAAGCTCTCTTTGACTTATGGGCTTGTGTTGAGAAGTCTTTTGATTCTGATGGGCTTTCCTTTATAGGTGATTTGTTTCTTTTCTCTAATAGCTTTTGATGTTCAGTTCTTGTGCTAAATATCTAGAATCTTGACAGTTACATGCTTTGGTGTAGATTTATTTTGTTCATGGCTAGTTATATTCTATATGTCTAACTTATTTGTATGTCAATTTTTTTTCCATGTTTGGGAAGTTTTCTGCCATTACTAC